AAAAAGAAATTAAAAAAAGCGCCGTATGATCACCTGAGAGTACAGGTAGTACCGCCCGTCCTGAGGCACTCGCAGCTTCCCATTGGACAGCGTCATGTTGTGCAGGTGCGCTCCGAAGCTCTGATTGGCCCACGTGCGCACCACATGACGGCATGACTGGTGCAGACCCGGCGTGGGGATGGGGTAGGGAGGGAACCCTGTGGGAGGAAAAGAGAGTCATGAAATCCCAAACAAAAGAGAATCTATGACAGCTGTAATAAGTTTTAATCCCGGATTATAAGGGCTTCATTTTGTTGGTGCAATTAGCTAATGACTCATTTAAAATACACGTCTCCAGCTTCTTCCACATTCAACAAGTACTTTTATTATTATTCTCCATGTTTGCCTATTCTTCAGGATCGGCAGATTGCACGTTCGAAATGCTGCCATTCGTGTTCCTGTTGACAATTGCTTGTATTATGTCTACTTCTTTGGCATTTAAACATCTGTGTGTTCTGTGACCATGCTGCAGTTTGACCTAAATACCGTGGTTTCTTTCACATTGGAAAGAAACCATTTTGTTTTTGTCGAAAGAAAACATCAAAGGTCAACACTCATAGTCTGCCTTATGAGAAAACCAGGCTGAATGTGCCTCTTTCCTTCTTCCTTAAACACACACACACACACACACACACACACACACACACACACACACACACACACACACACACACACACACACACACACACACACACACACACACACACACACACACACACACACACACACACACACACACACACACACACACACACACACCACCATCCTTGCCCTTTGTCAGCTGGATGGAAATAACAGAAGTAGGCCTTTGCCAGATTGTCAACACCCTTCAGTTTGCACGCCACTCTCAGATGAAACGATACAAAGGTCTGGATAACACACACACATGAAAAACACATTCCAAAAGTCCTTGCTTAACACCGGCACGGCAGGATGTGATATAGATTTATTAGAAGAATTGGTCAGACTCAAGGAAGCTGAATCCTTTAATGTACAACTAAGCACTCGCACATTATGGAGATTAAGCTGGAATGCGCACAGGAGAAGTCGATTTGATCCTTGTACAGAAACTCCTGAAGGTACTTGTGCTTATCAGCTTGCCTTTATATTAAATATGAAGGTTTTTACTTAATACCTGTAGAGTATATTTAGGCAGTGTGTTCCCTAGAGAAAGAGAAAGCGATATACATGCTGAAAGAATCATGCATAGACTGAAAAATTAAAAATTAAAGAACATATTTTCTGGCCTCAAGAGTTTCCCAGTTCACCAAGGGATGATCTTTTTTATTGTTCTTTCAATTTATGGTTTTATTACCTGGCACCACAAAAAAAACCGGTGTTAAAATGGTCAGAAACCTAACCTCATAAACCTCGAACCTTGACATATATTAACACACACACACACACACAGTTAAAAAGAAACCCTAAGAACCCTTGACGTTGAGTGCTAACGCAGCAGCGACTGACGTCTCACCTTGAGGGCTCGTGTCTCTGAGGGTCAAGTGCGCAGATGGCCTCTGGGTCACCGAGGTCATGAACTTTGACCCCGAGTTGTTGAAGGAGCGAGGCATGGTTCTCGCTTCTGAGGGAGAGAGAGAGAGGATGAAAGAGAGAGTCAGGAATAACGTCTGGTGTGTGTGTGTGTGTGTGTGTGTGTGTGTGTGTGTGTGTGTGTGTGTGTGTGTGTGTGTGTGTGTGTGTGTGTGTGTGTGTGTGTCCTAGCATTACTATCCTTGTGGGGACCTAAATCTGTTTACACAGTCACGTGTGGGGACTCGCCTCCCTTATGGGGACATAATGGAGGTCCCCATAAGGGGAATCATTAATTTTGAAAGACTTGGTTAGGGTTAGGGTTAGGCATGTGTTGGTTATGGTTAAGGTTAGGATAAGTCTCCAGGAAGTGCATGTAAATCAATGTAATGTCCCCTGAAGTAATGTATGTGTGTGTGTGTGTGTGTGTGTGTGTGTGTGTGTGTGTGTGTGTGTGTGGTATGTGCTGCATGTCTGGCTCTCTGGGGTTTTCCCACTCCAGTGTGTGTGTGTGTGTGTGTGTGTGTGTGTGTGTGTGTGTGTTGTCCACATTTTAAAGTA